CCCAGATAGTTTAAGTCCTCCCAAATCCTTCGCCCAGGTCTGTCTGTACAACAAAGATCTGCTTTGTTAATGTCAGAGACGTCGACACTGTTGCAGAGACATTTGAAAGTAACGTCAGAGGTTGTTTCGAGACATCTTAAAGCTTTTGCTCAGCTTGATGAACGTCCAGGAGCTCCTCGTTCTCCAGTCGGCTTCACATTTCAGAGACACTGATGATTCAATATGAACCCAAACTGAGGAGGTCTCATGTTTCCATCCAGGTCTGTCTAAAAGAGCAATGAGCTCATAATATCCACAAGATCTAGTCCTCACAAATTCCAAAAGGAAGAACTAAACCTTCAGTTATTATTGGAGTGGACAGGAAACCATTCATCTCAATGGACTCCTGTCTAACGAGCATTTATCCCTATAGAGCTTCTCTAATCGTATCCAATAGTGGACTAAAGTTATCATTATCAGATAACAGTGAGGTGGTATAAACACACTCAAGTAGGCGAAACACGAGAGAGAACATTTAAAGTGAGCATGTAAAAGACAAAGTGTGAGACAAAAATAATAAATCGAGTAATTCTGAGATTATTTTATGAAATTTCTGACTGATTATAATCACAGACACTCTGGATCTTAAAGTCTTTTGAGGCTTTTTGAGCTACAGGTGCTGCAGAGCCCTCGTGAAGAACTTTAACCTTTTAAAACCGGAGCGCGGTCCATCTAAGTTCCTCTTTGCGACTGTTACAGAGTATAGCATGGTGGAAAAGGATGGAGAGAATCCCCCACTAAGCTTTTGGGTTGGCATAACTTTAGATTTTGTTTTGTATTAATTGCATGCTTTGGTGTTTGTGCTTGATGTGAGGTGTGGGCCACACCCATGTGGGAGTGGAGATTCTACTCTAGTCCAGCTGCCAGCTATTTGGAGTTGAGTACAGGGAACAGCGGATTGGGGAGGATTGGAGCCCTTCTCTATAAAGGGGAGAGGAAACAGGAAGTAGGTGTTGTCGTTGTTTTTTTAGTAAGACACTGGTGTAGCAGGGAAGCCTCGAAGATCCAGGATGAAGTGTGCAC